TATTATATATATCAAAGGGTAACAAAAAATGTAATCATATATCTCAAAGGGTAACAAAATTTCGTAACAAAATTTGGGCCAGGTTTTTATTGCGGAGCAATGTCTCAAAGAGCCTTCACTTATCAAGGATCTATTTTTGAAACCTTAGCACGTAATCTATTATAGTACTGAACCACATAGTACCCTTTTGATATATCGAAAAAATTAATTAAACAAAAGATTTTTATAAGTATTATATTATAATTCTGTAGACATATATATATATATACAAAATGGTTCACACATGTGATAGATGTAACAAAGAATTCAAAAAATTATGGATGCTTAATCGTCATCTTCAGAATAGAAAATTTCCATGTAGACCTAATGTTATAGCTCCACTAATTAGTCATATTCAAGTACCAGATGATGCAGAGCATCGAATCTCCGATTCCCCTATACCTGAAACAAACCCTATTCAAATACCCGATTCAGTTCAAGTTCAACCTCCCAAAATATCTAGTACTTCTGATGCGCTATTCTCAGATCAAAAAGTTGAATGGGAATATCAAAATGTGAAAAGAAAATTAGGTAAATTCGTGAATTTGCAACAGGAATGCTGTATTCCAAAGGAGTTTACTAGACAACGATTTTATTCTGAAATAGAAAGAGAAGGTCTTGGGAAATGGAAAGGGCAATTATCTTCCAAATGGGATGCAGTTATTTATGAAGCTATTCAAGGATTACAACAATATTTAAGGGGAGAGAAATTGAAATTTAGTAGGAAAGATGTCGTTGATTATATTCGAAAAAGTTTACCAATTCCACAAATTGACTCAGAAGCCGGCCCAGGTCCATCTACTCAAACCCATAGAGAGGAAATATTACAAAATAATGAATCGAATAGTGCCCAAGAAGAGATTGATTTACTTATTGCATTGGGATTAATAGAAGAACCAGAGATCGAAGAATCCTGGCCTGAATTAGGAGGTACTCTTTTAGCGGATAAGGCAAAGAGTAAAAAATTTATATCATGTTATAGGGATTCAGGATTTGCAAGTACTATTGTTGAACCACCACCAGGTGATATACTCTTTGAAGAGTCTGAAGTTGGAGATCCAGATAGACAACACTCAAGTTTATCTTCATTAAGTAAATGGCAGGCAATTGTTCCGTCATATGAAAATCCTGCATATGATTTCAATACACCAATAGATGATCCTAAAAAATATGCAGAAGCTCCATATATGCCCCAGCTTATAGCTTCTGCTCGAGAACAAATTTCAAGTGTACTTAAAGCTGAACTCTGAAGAAAAGATCAAATAAAATCGGCAATAGTGGTATACTGCAATTATATGAAAATGGAAAAGAAAGAAAAAGGTAAACCATCATTTCCAGTTTATATTCAAAGATATCACAATGGAAAGATGCGAGCTATTCTTTCAGAAAATGATATAGATGAGCATATTACTCTTTCAGCTGGAGAAATTGATGTAAAAATAGAAAACTTTTTAAAAAGTGGATCAGGATGGACATTAATCCGAATAGAAATGATATATATTGAGGTCTATGCATATAGAAGAGCTGTTGGAGGATCATTCAAACCAACACCCAAAAATCTTGCCAATACTAAATGTACTATCAATCCGGATAACTCTAAAACAGGAGATGACATGTGTTTAAAATATGCATTCGGTCCATACTTTGCAACTCTTGATGGTATAACGAAAAATCTACAACGTCTTTCTGTTCTCAAACCATATCTGGATATAGTTAATTTGGATGGTATTCCAATGCCAACACCTATCTGTCCTAGAACCTTCCAAAAGATCGAAGCCCAAAATCCAGAAATCTCAATCAACGTATGGGAATGGAAGGAGGAAACCGCCACTCCAAAACCAGTAATTGCTAGTAAAAATTTCTATATACCTAACTCGTGTCAAGTTGCAGGTTGTGAACATCCAAGACCAAATGAATGTATGACAAAAAGACCACATGTTATCCATCTTATGGCTCTTACAGATGTTAATAAGTCTGAAGATACAGGTAAGTATGGACAAAGAAATCATTTCCTATGGATCAAAAATCCAGATGGTTTAATACGCAAAGATACTAAACATAATGATAAAAAATATCTCTGCAATCGATGCTTCCAAGGTTTTCCATCAGAGAATACTCGAGATTATCACCAAGATCATTGTTATGGATTAGGGGAAGCTCCACAAGTAGCAAAACTACCCCAAAAAGACATCAATGATATTGAAAAATTCAAGCACTATGCAAGGATGATGTTTGCCCCCTGTATAATATATTCAGATTTTGAATCGAAAAATAAAAAATGTGACGAATCATATGGTGGAAGTATGCGCAAACTTGGTGAGCAGGTACCTAGTAGCTTTTGTTACTCAGTTCATTGGATTGACACTGGAGAAGTTTGGGGGCCCTTTACATATAGAGGTCCGAATGCAACCCAAGTATTTGTTCAAAGAATGGATAAAGAATTAATGAAGTCTTAGCAATCAATAATGATATTAGAGATGATAAAAATAATCCAGAATACTTAATAGCAAAGCAAAAGTTTGACGAATCTACTGAATGCTGGATTTGCAAGAAGCCATTAGATGGAGATAAGGTCTGGGATCACAATCATATCACAGGTAAGTATAGAGGTTCAGCACATAACGATTGCAATCTTCAACTTCGAATTCAACCATGGAAGACACCAGTTCCAATAGTGTTCCATAATTTCAGAGGCTATGACTCTCATCTAGTCTGTGAATCAATTGGTCGATCTGTCAACGCACACCAGATTACAGTTATTGCAGAAACTTTTGAACGATATAAAATGATGAAGGTAGGTCAAATGAAATATATAGACAGTAATCAATTTATGTTATCTAGCTTGGCCAAACTTGCAGATAATTTAGGTGCTGTTAAATGCAAGGATACAGACTGTAAGCATTACCATAGAATAGATAAAGATCGATGTATTGGGACTTTGAAAAATCATAAAATAACAAAACATCATTATGAAAAAATGGGATATTCATCCGAGCAAATAGCATTGGTATGTAGTAAAGGAGAACTCCCATATGAGTATATTGATTCTGATGACAGGTTCAATGAAACTGAGCTTCCTCCAATTGAGGCATTTGGTGGAAAGCTTAATGGAAAAATTACGCAAAAGAATTATGAACATGCCCAAAAAGTATGGAAAGAATTCGGATGCAGAAATTTAGGTGAGTATCATGATTTATATCTCAAAACTGATGTACTTCTCCTTACAGATATCTTTACAAAATTTCGAGAAACATCTATGAAACATTATGGTCTTGATCCAGCACATTACGTATCAGCACCTGCATTATCTTGGGATGCAATGCTTAAAATGACTGGAGTTGAAATCGAACTTTTCACAGAGATATCAATGCATGACTTTATTGAAAAAGCCAAAAGAGGTGGTATTGCAATGGCTGTACATCGATACTTTAAGGCTAATAATCCAAGAATGGGCAATGAATATGATCCATCACAACCCACAACATGGATCTCATATGTCGATGCAAATAATCTTTATGGATGGGCCATGAGTCAATTTCTACCGATTGGTAAGTATAAATGGCTTGCAACTAGAGCAGTTTTAAATAATAGAAAAGACTTGCAAAAGAAATATCTTAAAATGATTTTAAATACTAAAGCTGATGCTCCAAGAGGATATTTCTTAAATATCAGATCACACATCCCTATTAAGTTACGTGACTATCTCAATGACTTACCTCCAGCAGTTGAGAATGTTGCAATAAAAAAGAATCAGCTTAGTCCTCATAATACTAAGTTAGTAGAAGATTTGGATGGGGGGCAATTCTCTGAAATAAAGAAACTAGTTCCACATCTTGGACCTCGAGATAATTATGTAATTCATTATCAGGAACTTCAAT